TAGGGCCTCTTACTGAACAGGGTTAGGGCCTCTTACTGAACAGGGTTAGTGCCTCTTACTGAACAGGGTTAGGGCCTCTTACTGAACAGGGTTAGTGTCTCTTACTGAACAGGGTTAGGGCCTCTTACTGAACAGGGTTAGTGCCTCTTACTGAACAGGGTTAGGGCCTCTTACTGAACAGGGTTAGTGTTTCTTACTGAACAGGGTTGTAGCTAGAGAAGGAGATCAGGCCTCCCCAGGCTAGCCCAAAAGAGTAGAACACCTGGGCGCCTGCATCCAGCCAGGTGTTGGGTTTCACCAGTTCCTCCACCTGCAGGAGGAGAGGGGCTTTAGGAGCCGGGCTGGAGGGGAAAATGCAACTTTTAACAACATTTAAGACTCACATCTGGAGTGAAGAGGAACTTGATTCCGCTCAGGGAGCCTTTGAGGGTCAGCCCCCGGATGAGGAAGATGGCCAACACGATGTAGGGCAGGATGGCCGTGACGTACACCGCCTGGACCAGAAACAAGGTAGGAGCTCACTGTTAGAACTTAAACTGTTAAAAAATAAACTATTCAAGTTCACTAGGAGCTAAAATGATGGACCCTGTTGTCTGCTCGTCCAATCAAACGCTAATGCTCGGATATTTGCTCTCAACATATCGTTCAAAGGTTTCTCTGCGTGTTTTTGTAGTTTAAATCACTATTTCTTGGGTTTCTGTAATTAACTTCAGAGTCTGGTCTGACCTGCTCTGTTTATAAAGCACTGTGAGATAAATGTTGTTGTGATTTGGTGCTATATAAATAAAATTGAATTGAATTGAATTGAACGATTCTAGTTTTCTGACGACCTCCCACTGTGAGCCAGGTTTTTCATGGACACTGAAGAATGAGAACAGATCGATGGGGGAAGCCCATTTTAACTTCGCCGACATTTATCTAATGTCATGAAGGTAGATTTTCTTATTATATGTCCAATTTATCTAACTTATCTCATTTATGTCTAAGTCTGCTCGGGAAAGCAAGAAACGAAATTTCAATACTTTGTATGACCAACGCATGTAAAGAAATTGAAAATAAAAGCCTACTTGACTTGACTTGAATTTGATTTACTGGGACTGTGCTAATTCTAAGCTAAGGCTATTTCTAAGCTAAGGCTATTTCTAAGATAACAGTAAATAAGAATCCCCCACCTTCCCAGAGGTGCTGATTCCTCGTATGCAGCAGATGGCCACCACCGTCCAGGCGGCCAGCAGACACACCACCATGGGCCAGTGAATGCCTCCGGACTCGGCTATGGAGGTGGAGCTGTCCAGGGTCACTCTGTAGAAGTAGTAATCCACCGTGGAGCTCCTCTGGCACTCTGATATGAACTCTGAGGGAGATAGACGTGTTAAAAAAGTCAAACACTGGATAGAACTGATGTACCGAGAGTTACTGAAAGATACCGAAAAGCACCGAAAGATACCAAAAGATACCAAAAGA